GATAAACTGTCCCACAGGCATCAACTGATGCTGGACCCTACTGCTGAATATATTCTTCTAGTATATCGGATTTCACTTAAAGACATCAGCAAATTACTACATCATAAACACAAAGATCAACATTTTTAACACGATCTATACCCTTCTGGACGATATTTCATTTCGGGACACAGCCAAGCTACTGAGCACTACGTGTAAAGCAAAAAACTTTAGTCTATTTATTTAGATCAGATATCATTTCAACGCACAGAAAAGATATTCAGCGTTTGAAAAAGTTACAGACTATGCATCAAGTTTTATTATCAGGTTTCGTTTCAAGGTATTAGAAAATCAGTACCATCTTAATGCATGTGCAGGCACAGATCTCTTGTGTACTTATTCAACTACAGATGTATTCAACTACAGAAACAAACAAGTTGAATGTATGAACACCTTGTGCACTACGCGAGTATACGACAAGAAAAATAACTCGTATATTGCTAAATTCACTTTTTTTTTCTTTAAATGGTGTAAGCAAAGGCTTCAGAATACAACCAAAGGTTAAGTCAAAATACTGTTAAGAAGGCCCTGTTGGTAAACTAAAAATTAAGATTTAAAGTTAGGAAAAACAGGCAATCTTTGTTTGTCATAGATATTGAGTAAGACTCTACATATTCTGAGAGCGATCAGATAGACATTCCTTTTTTAAATTTTACTCTGGCAAGTTTCTCTTCCAGTTTGATGACTTACATACATATATTAAGCTATGTCTTCTAATATCTTCTATTAGCTGAGAGAAAGGATAGAGGTAGAAAGAAAATGATAAAAATAAATGTATTTATAGCAAATGACTAAATCGTTCATTTTTCCAATGAATGGAAATTCAATAAATTTCAGATTGCTGATCCCACATTTAGTCACCAAATTTTCATACGATATTCTTTTTTCCTGAACGTAACCCTGATGATGTACGTCATCCAAATTAGCTATTTGAAAAGTCGAGCGTTAAGAGAATGATCTAGCGAAAAGAGATATTATATGACAGAAAAAGATGTCATGCAGACCAAACAAATATTTTTATCTAGCAGCTTTATTAGTTGCTTTTCCAGAGAAGCTGTTAGTCAGAACAGATACTTTAAAAATATGGCAAAATAACGCTAAGCACGATATGAAAGCCAAATAAAGAGAACAATTCTTCCAATTCTGATAGCAATACGACGATTTAAAAAACTGTGAATTGCATGTGATGTAAAATATGCTATCCATATGATTATTATGCTATATTTTCTGCTATACATATGATGCAAAAATAAAGAAATTCGGAACATAATGATATACGGTGCGTTAAAAGCTTTTCTTTTGAAAGAGTATGGACTAGTTACTTAACTGATTTAAGACAAAGACAAAGCACACTGAGCCATTCACGTAAAGGAGGGATGACATCGTGAAGGATTTCTTAAGAGAAACTAATTCAGATTTACATTACTACCACATTTTGTTTTAAATTTTACTTTATTTTTAAACAAATTTATAGGTTTGATGTTATTTCTTTACAAGTTTTATTTCTCTTGAAGAACTGGGCAGTTTTGCTCAACTTCAAGGAGGTTAAACTCGCGGCCCGCGGGCCGCATGCGGCACACAACAAATATTTTTCTGGCCCGGCCAATATATCGGCAAATAATAATATATAATAATAAAATAACATATCGACGAAAAGAATGAAATGTTTACTGCTAAGTAATTAACGATAATTTATTCAGTGTTGTTAAATTACTAACAGCGAGCTGACACACACACTACTTAAATTACAAATGCGTGTGTGAGTAGCTTGCGTTCAGCTCCTTCGGCTTTTCCAATCATAGTTTTGTACGATATATTGGTGCATGCATGTGCATGCACTTTGCTTTATTATTAATTATACTTAATTCATATTGGGTCGGATTTCTAGTTTTTATTTATTTAGTTTTTTTTATTTAGAATTGTAATTAGATTTGCTTCATGTTGCCTTAGCACGCAGACGATTTTTGAAAACAGCTGCTTTGGAAGGTTAAAAATAGAACCCGCGTGTATTTTAATACCTATAAATAATATCTCGTAATTGCTGTTGCCATGCTCAAAAATCCAGATATTATAGATGTTTCAGTATATTCGAGAAATAATTAAAAGCTTGTAAAAGCCGAGAACAAATAACTCTCCAGTAGTATCGTAGTTCTAGCGAACTGTTTGTTTACTTAATGCTGTGATTGATTGTAGCGATTTCGCTGTGAGATAGATAGAATTAGTTTCTCTGTTTTGAATTGATTTGCTAACGTTTGACATTTTATCTCTTGTGGAAAGAATAAATTTTTGTTAACTTTTAACGTTAACCGTTTTATTCCGCCCTTGTATTCAGTATGTCTATATCAAACAAAGTGGTAGTAAATTAAACGAAAAAATCGCTGACGAACATAGAAATTCCAAGTAAATGGGAATTAGAATTTTTGCTGTGAAATAAAAGATAAAATAATCTGCTTGATATGTAATATACTATTAATGTACCAAAGTTAATATAATATTAAACGTCTTACGAACAACACAAATCGAAATATAACAATTACGAAGGATTAATGAGAGAAGAAAAGTGAAAGAGTCAAGGTTAGGAGTGAAAAAGCAACAGTCCATGTTTAGTAATATTGCAAGAAAGTGAGCGGCGTACATGCAGCTACTCTTGTCCGATGATAGCTAAACTTCGAAGCCTTTACTGACGGTGTTCCATCAGGAATGGCCTAATGAAAGCTGGAAATGTTTGTCCTGGAAATGTGAAGGCTTTTCAATCAATTTCATTGTCTCGAAATACAGTTGGCGGAAAAGAGTTACTGATTTAGCCGCGATTTAAGTGATCAGATCAAAGCAAAATCATCTAGTTCGAAAGTTCTCCATGCTGTGACAGAGCACGGACATTAGTGGCAAAGCTCAATTAGCAGTGTTTCTTCGTCTTGTGACAAGAATTTTACATTTTTGAGGAATTTTGGAACTAATACCGATCCCGGTACTAACACAGGAGAAGATATTTACTTGGTTTTTGGACTTCTGCAGAAATACAGTCTACCTTGCAAAATTAATTCGTAGCTACAGATGGCGCTCCATCAATGACCGGGAAAAAAAAGAGCTTCATAGCATACAAAAAAAAATTAGTAAATTCACGTTAAACATTCATCATATGCTTGTATTACATCAAGAAGTTCTATGCACAAAGTAATAAATATGGAGATGTTTTTGTCATATATAAAAAAAGTTATAAATTTTATAAGATCTCGAGGTTTTAAATCAACGTCATTCACTGCTTCTTAATAGTAGATAGTGAATATTCGATTTGTCCTACTATACCGAGGTACGTTGGTTATTGCTCAGATTCTCAACATTCTAGATTGAAAGAAGAAATATCATTTTTTAAAAACGAAAAATCAAGACGTAAGTTTGTTTTACGATCAATATGGATACAAGATTTATCTTTCTGGGTTGATATAACCAAACGCTTAACCGATTTAAATTTATCGTTACAAGGAAAGATCATATCATTACGACATGTTTGACATAATGAAAGCATTCAATGTCAACTGTTCTTTGGGAAAAACAACTTAAATGAAGATTTGACGCACTTCGACGACGTGCGCATGAACAAATCCTTTTATGATACTTGTTCGTATCAAAAATACGCAGAAAAAATCAATTTACAACTGAATTTGAAACGAGGTTTAATGATTTTAGTTCCCTCGAAGACAATTTTTTTTGTTTCTTCGATTTTTCAATAATTGACTCAGTACCCAGCCATATGCAAATGAGGTGATCGATTCATGCACTTTTTGAAAGCAAAATTCATTGAAGTGGGAGTGCCTGAATTTTACAAATATTTACCAGCCAGTTTGAAAATATCGCAAATTCGCATATGAAATTATTTCCATGTTTGATGCACTTTCGTGCGAGTAGTTATTTTCAGTCATAAAGGTAATAAAGTCTCCTATTAGAAACCGTATGGATGCTCACTTGGGGCAGCGTGAAAGTTATCACTACAAACAAACTTCTCCCGAAATAAGAAAGATAATAGCAGAGAAGAGATGTCAAGTATTAGGACGTAAACTTAATTTTCTTGTTCTTTTCTATATAAAATATATATATATATTTTTTATTGTATTATTCGAAATAATCTACTCTAGAAATTGAATTTTTTTTTTTTTTTTTTTTTTTTTTGCGGCCCGCCTAAAAAACCTGTTTGTTTGGTCCAAGTGTACCTATGAGTTTGACATCCCTGCTCTACTTACTCCAGCTTGTAGGGGTTGAACTGGAAAGGACATGAATTGTTTTGTGGGATATTGAAGCATTTAATTCTAATTAGTAAATTTGTGTCATCGTCAGCTGAAACATATACTAATTCATTTATTTTATTTTCATTACATTCATTTACCAGCAACTGACGACGATGGGGCCAAAGACGAAAATACTCTTTTTTTTTTCCCCTTTTGATTTTCCTTTTTATTTGGTTTACACTGCTTTTGCCCCTTATCATGTAATTAATCAATGTGTTTTTCAATGTACTTTTTTAAAGCTTTTCTAATGATTCGTTCTGGTTTGAATATTTGGTGAATTACGTTTATTTTTATTTTTACAGTAATTTTTGTGTTAGTGTTATGTTGTTTAATTTAATTAATAACAGATTCAATCTTGCTTATTAATTAAATTAAAATATTAAAAATTTTTACTTTGTTGCACTTTTAAAGACTTTAACTGAGAATTTTAACCAAATTTATCTCAACTGACACTTTTTGTAATTATTTATTTTGATTTTTTTCAAAAATTCACAATCATCCAGATACAATTTGGAAACGTGGTTTTACGGAAAATTCTTCGGCTGCTGTTTGAAAAAAAATCACGGAATTTTCAACAATTACATACATATATATATATGCATGTTTGTGTAAATATAAAATACCTATCTTTCAAATAATAAATTAATAAAAGCCCCTTAACAACAGAAAATGCCTTACTTTCGTTGACTATGGCTTGCAAGTCACTTTTCTCACATGTGGATGGTATGCAAACTCCAAGTCGTAAATCTGCAATATCTGCTCGAGGACCAATTTTGACCAAATTTTTCAAAAACTGCAAAGAAAAAAGAACGCGTCATTAGAATTTATTCAAAAGTTGTTTAATTTGTCTGTCAAATTTATTCAAATTTTCACATATCTGATCAGAATTGTGCTTTACTGTGACATGAGGAGATTTGAATAAATAGCTTTTATATAGTCTGAGAGAATAAAAATTCATGTTTATCTCTGAAAACTGAAAACTCGTATAAAGAGAAAGGAAAATAATAACTTTACACAAATATCTCATGCAGAAAGGTTTTCCCAATTTATGTCACACAGGATCACTTTTAATATTTAAAGAATTTAATGTTACACTTTAAAGACATTAGGTATTTTGGAAGAAGGCAAGATGAAAAATGAGCAAACGCCTTCGCAGGGAGTCGAATCGCGGACCTGTGGAATACGCGCCCAGCGTGCAGACCACCACACCACGAAGGCATGCAAGGAAGGTGGGAGATATACCTTATAACACAAAAAAGCAAAAAATAAATAAATAAATAAAATGCATATTTATATTTACTTTTGTGGGATTTCTTTCTTTATATGCTTGTTTTAAGAATTAGTTTAACAATAATAGGATAAATACACTTCAAACCTTACACATTATAAAATATATGCTATGCTATAAAATAATTGCTATATATAAATGCTGACTATTTTAATTTAAGCGTAGAATAAACTTAAATTTTTAAAATTCTGTTTGCTTGATGATTAGTCATTCTGGTGCGGATAATTAATTCACTGCACAAATCGGACGTAATATCTAAATAAAGTTGTAATTTTACTAGCTTTAGAATACACAAAAGTATTACAATGTAGTATCAAATAATTTTCAAAATATGTTAGAATTAAAAAAATGAAAAACAAAAATGTACTTAAAAGCTTGCAGTAATTTTTTTCTACAAAATTTCGTCATAACTGTTAGATTTTATTCTGGATGTATAGAACAGAATTAGAAAAAAAGTAGAGCTAGAAATATTCCAATTGGCTAATTATAACTAATTATAACTAAAACTATAACTAATCAATTGAGAATTTTACTGCCATTTTTTATAACATGCTTGGTATAAAGTAAAACTTGTTACTTTGAAACAATAACAATATTGCAACAATATTACTAAGATAAGCAGGCAAAATGTAATAATTAACTTTAGCATTAGCGCTGCATTGAGCAAAGCACTTTTATGATACTGAAGATAAAAGAAAGAACGTATGCATCGTCATAATTGACAATAATAACATCGGATATGTAATAAATATATACGATTTTAACGTATAAAGAAAGGATAAATACCTAGAATAGAATTTTTTTGGTGCATATGAAAAGAAAATAACAATTGGCTTTAGTAAAATAAGAAGGTAGATGAGTTCAGTGTATGACGTTTTCTCCTTTTCATTTTTTGTGTAATTTTATTGTATTAAGTTATAAGGTATTTTTCCCTCCTTCCTAACCTGCCTTCGTGGTGTAGTGGTTCTGCACGCTGAGACGGTATTCCAGAAGTCCGTGGTTCGATTCCTGGCGAAGGCGATTGCTCATTTATCATCTTGCCTGCTTTAAAAAAAAAGTCTCTACAAAGTTGTATTTCTGGTAAAATGGCGCAGAATACTTTTGTTCTGTAAGAAATTGATTTAGACACTCTTCTAACTGTTTGTATTTTGATAAACCAGTTTTAATCTAAGCCGAATTTTACCTAATTCTAAAATTTCCCGTCTTCACACGTGTCTGTAACTTTATAGAATGTTTCCAAAGTTCTAGAAATTAAGCTTTAGCGCCATTCCTAGAACTTAGAATCAGCACTATCGCCAGACATGTTGTAATCTTGACATGTTGTAAGTTTGTCGACCGTGAAACTGTCACCAAGCAAGGAGATTTAGAGTCGGTTATGGATAAGCAAGACGTCACAACACACTCATAATACCTGCGCTTTCGTTTGATATAACCCCAATTGATTCTCGATATGCCACGTTTGTTTTGACGACAGTATAAATTAACTCTTATTACTGAATTTTTTCTTGTATTTGCAGTAAAAAAAAAGTTTGAACTGAACTCTGTAGAATCACATTTCTGACTGAATTCCTGTTTATTTACAGCTTGTCGAAAAATCTAACATCTGCTGAAAGGAGATGATAGTCGGATATGGCCGACAAAATAGTAAAAGATTGCAAAAATTCCCAGCTGGAAGTCTGTTCTAACAGATTTCTAAACAGCGCTTTTGATAAAACAGGTAGCCTAAGAAAATAATAGATATCGAAGCTTTTACGAGGCACAGAAACGAAGCGGGTCTTCCACAGTAGTAGAAATTCGATGGATTGTGCAGCGAGACTGACAGCGAATTTTTTAAAGAACTGCAGATAAGATGGGGATCAGATTTCCGCATGAACAATTCGCTCAACTTTGGTGGTATTTCTCCCACCTTTCATTGTTTGATGGTTGCCGGCTTTACGGTCGATGGGTTAATATGCAAGTACCAAAATTACTCCTTTTTAGGGAAGTATATTCAATTAAGTAAAGATTATGTTGAAAAACTGCATTGGGTACTTCTTCTTTATTGTGGCCCCAAACATGTTTGGCGATTTTAGATTTGCACCAAAGACTTAGCTATAATTTTGCCAAGCTCATGAGGTCTGAATGTAAAAATAAACAACAACATAATATATAATAATAACAATTACACTCGCATATCATTTCCTAGGAATATTTTCAAGAATCTTTCTTCTTATCCTTATTATTATTATTTTATCGCATGTAAATTTCCCAGTTGACTGCAACACTTTCGCACATATTAAGCTGTTCGCTAACCATTTCAAAGACGTCAACTCCTCTCTGTCCAAGAATACATAAATCTAACAGCAGTGACAAAAGATATTCTGGAACTGCCTGAAACAGTTTCCAACATGGAGGCCCATGCCCACCAGCGGCAGAGCCGTAAAAGCCTCTAAACACTGATAGTTTGGTCCAGGGTTCGAGTTCTGGTGATCGGGGTGGCTGCATTGGCGGTTTCGTGGTTTTTCCCATGTGTAACGTGGATACGAGCCAATTTCCCTTAAAAAGACCCCCACAGGACATCCCTCCCTTTCCGTGTAGTTCCCGTCCGTGTAAGGAGAAACACGTAACAAGTAAAAAAACATGGAGGCTCTTCTTATTTTTGCAATTTTTAACACTACACCTCCAAATGATTCCGTCGTTAACATAAAGTTTTATGTTATGGCCTTTTTCACACACAGAGGTGCATGTAGATAATCTAACATACAAAATACTCCAGCCTCGGCGTATGTTTATAATAATGAATATCTGTTGTCACAGCGATGTTGTAGCAATGTAATTTTTACAACCGCAATTTATTTTTCCCCTTTTAATGTATAATACACATTTAATGTCAAACTGATGCATCTTATAATGTCATGTTATACCGTGAATATTAATACCCTTTTAGCATAAATTATATTATGCTTAGTGTATTTCATATAATTTTTTTGCAGCGCAACTATGTGTCGTGTTATATGTTTAAATAACCACTCTTGCTATCTCCCGTTAACTGTACATTAAATGCCTTGCATTTGTACGTGCTAAAATGATATATAATTGTCTTAGCATTTATACCTGTAAGTCTGATTGTGGGCCTAAGCCGCATTGCATAGGTAATATCATTTCTTAGTAGTTATATATTATAATAATGAACTTCGTTGTCATAGAGACGATGTGACAATGTAAAAGTAATAGCCTGTATTTGCTATAACTGTGCATGTTTATAATCAAGGTACAGTATTATTCACTCCCTATGCTGGCTAATTAGGTTGTAAATATGAATGTTTGTAATGTCATAATCATTGCCACTTCCTTGTCGTGGTAATTACCGCTAGATATTGCAAGGCAGTGTAATATCTTGTATTTAATAAATAAATATAATTATTGTTGAAGTGGCACGCCATATTTGTATAAAACCGTCACTCGCAACGAGAGAATATTTAAAAAAAAAGATTTAGTATTCTGAAGATTTTGCCATCTCGGAGTAGTGTTAAAATTTTGCCACTTAAGACTGTATGAAATTGTCTATCACTGTGAACTAGAATAAAAAATATGTTCTACTAAGAAGATTGTCTGTTTTGTAAAATTACTGCAAAATAAATACAGTCTTAATAAATTGGAGGTTCCACCGAGATACTGGAAATTAGAGTGCAATTATCAATTTTGATGGTGCTGGTCCCTAATCCCAGAAATTGCTGAATTTTTTTTGAACAAGTTTGGCTAATACCAATTGCCGAGTTGTTTTTCAGGATAAATGATTGTTGAAGAAGTCTGCCGTTTTTAAAGCCAGATTTGAAGCGGATCATTCAAAGATTATCTTCTGTGTTCTGTAACTTTGCGTCCGAGCAAAAACTGTCAAAAATAGGATACTGCTGATCTCTGAAGATAGATTAACTTTTGGTTTTCTTAAAAAGGTTTATTGAATTTTAATACTTGTTTCAGAATATAGTTTATCGTTAGATTTTAAAAACTAACGCTAAAATATTCAGCTTAAATTTATAATTGGTATTTGTGGTAAAGAGTATTTTGAAACTTTATTTATGCTTTACTTTTATTTGTATTGATGTTTTATGTGATGAATTTTTATGTTGATAATTGATAGTGGAAGCCATCCCGGCGTTTATAAAAAAAAAAAAAAAAAAACGAACTGCTAGCTGAATTTTGAATTGTTGCCAAGCAGGCGCTGGAAAATAGTAGCAACGTCAACTGACGTAGTGTGATTGATTATACTGCAGATTTGGAAAAAGGTTTTTTTCTTTTTCTCGCCATCCAGGCGTGTGATATATAACGTCATCCCGACGTATTACAGATTGTATATTTAAAAGTTGTATTGCAACTGGCAAAAAATTGTTTGTATCGCCAACCAGGCGTGGAGATAGATAGTAAAATTGTCAAACTGACGTTGGTAAAATCCATTGTATTGCCTAACTGGCAAAGTGTTTATATAGTTATAGCTAACGAGGCTGTGAATAGTGAGTTAAAACGTC